GGTATGAATCCTCTTCTCCTCCTCCTAGCTATGGGTAAATAGCAGGACAGACCGGGTTCTAGAGACTTGGATGGCAACTGGTCTACTGCAGAAAGAAATGGCAACCTACTGCGGGAAAAATCTGCCTCGTCAATGTATCGAAAGATACATGATCGCCTACGCGTGTATCACTGACTGACGAGAGGCTCTAATTAACTTTCAACTGGTTAAGGATCTCACATCGCAAGGTCTTTTTACAGATAAGCAATATGGCTTTCGCTTCACTAGGTCAACTGTTGATGCATTAACGACTAGCAGTAGAGCCCGGCGTTGCCCGGGATGTAACAGTAAGAGATTGATCAAGTATCGACCATCATAAAGACTGAAAAATAAAATTGACAAAGATTATTTAAGGTTGACGGACACGCATGTCTTAATTAGTTTTGTTTGTTTTTTTACGAATTGGTCAAACCCAAACAAAAACATTGTTTTCAATCGTTATGAGTCTCTACCGATTGAATAGAATTTTATTATAAACAATTGTCTTGTAAATGGAATTTTTAAAGCATTCTGAATGTAAAAATAAAGAAAAAAGTGTGCAAGACAATAAGAAACACTACCTGCCAAAAAAAAAAAGAGAAGTTTTGTTGAAATCGGCTGAAAAATGTAGGAAATCCGATCGCATATATAAACGAACACACACACAAACAACCTGGATTTTAACCCGAAGTGAGTTGTCCCCCTTTCATTAATGCCTCTTAATCGTGTTTTCAAATTGATTTCGTGCAAAAACAATTGTGTTTTTCCAATTTTTGGCCCTGTCAGAACCACCGCAAGGTAATTTTACGTAGTCCTGTGAAGTTTTGTTGAAATCGGTTGAAAAATGTAGAAAATCCGATCCAATATATAAACGTTACAGACACACACACACACAGAACCTGCGTTTTATAATAAGTAAGATGATTCCTGAAAGAGTCTATCAAGCTTTAGATAAGAATGGAGAAACTTGGGCTGTTGCTTTGGATATCTCGAAGGAATTTGACAGGTTTTGGCATATTGGGCTTCTTCTCAAGTTGAAATGTAGTATTTCTGAACAAATTTTTGAACTGGTTCAGTCTTATGACGGAAGAGGCCAGACGGGAGAGACCGCGATCGGTCGGCACATCGTCGCTACTGCGTGCCGTCACGTGCGTGGGCACCCACCGACGACCATTACGGGCTGCGGTGCTACAGGAGAGACGGAAGAGCCAGACGATAAAGGCTGACGAGAAAAGCAGGCAGGAGAGAGACTCGGAGAATGAGACCGTCGTCAGAGAGAGTCACGAGAGATTTGCGGGAGAATTAGAGAAGGAAGACTGCCCCCTGTTCTGCGAAGTCTGTATGAGACTGGACTACTAGTCATAAACCTACCCCAGGCGATTGCAATACGCGTTTATCAGCCACAAACCCTCTGTTGGGAATTCGCTGGATGCATTGCGTCTTTTTTCTTTTTCTTTTCTCATTTATGTTAAATGTTTTTATTCTCCCTGTAACCTCTGTTCTGATGCGATGTTATATAAAAGACGTCAATATTTCCGCCCATGGTTGTCTGGCTTCTGCAGATATTATTTTTGTTTTATTTTGCCACATTCTAAACTTCCTACCGCCAACTCTCACAGCCGTGTCCACATCTCCAGTCGACCGTGAACGTATGGACAACACCCCGTTTACTGGATCTAAAAATTAACACAGCGTGGGCAGCAAGCAGGACTTGACCAGTCGAAATAATCTACGGGTACTCAGGGAGCGTACGGTCAGTTACCCCTAAGTTCGGTTCGGACCGAGTGGACACCTCAACCCAAAGAGGAAGACGTCGGAGGTTGAGGGGCTGGGGACGAAGTGGTAGACCTTGAGACATGTAATTTATTTTAAGGGTTACACAAGGGTAAAATGGTTTAGAAACCCTGGCTTAAAGTATGGGGATTTCTCCTACAAAAGAATGATGCAGGTTTGAACCTTTCCAGAGATCCTATTTTCTCACATGCAGGTAGACTTAACATAATTGACAGTTTAAGCACAGATATCCACGAAATAACACTAGCGATAGGGCAGCTTTCAAGTTAGTTATTTAACATAAAGCGTGATATTTACTTGGGATATCCCATTGTTTTTTGGGAGGTTTTTTTCATTGATATCAAACTTCAAGTGATTCCTTGTAAATAAATATTAGGTTAAGTCATAAATAATTTTCAACTGTTCAAAAATTTTTAAATAAAAAAAAAAAAAAAAAAAAATTTTTTTTTAAAAGTACAACTCCATTTTATTTCCTATAAAATTCACTTATTAGCAATGACTTGTTGACATTTATCAGGGCAACTCTTCAATAGCTTTAAATAAAATTCTGCACGTTTTGATGCGAAAATATTTGACGAATTCTTGAAATTAAAAATATATACACATTGATTTGCTGCCATTATGTATTTTGAAATAAATCTGAGAAACGAAAAAGTATAATTAAAAATATATACTTATTATTTTGAAGAATACACCTCAACCTTTACTACTCTTAATTTCTTTCTAAAATTGTTCCCCCTGACACCGCAATTTTGAGGGGGCAAAAACATGAACACCTACTGTTTTAAAATTGTTATAACTTTCTTTGTATTGCGTGTATAGATTTTAATTTTTGTATACTAAGAAAAGAATCAATGAGTAATATTTTGATGTAATGCATTATGTTTTGCGTGCATGTTTTGGTTTTACAGCATATCAACCTCAATGGGTTATTTAATGCCGACAATTTTTATTGTTGGTAATATCTTTTTTTAAATTTATTTCTGGTAATATTTTTCCTTCAAAAAATATATTTCTAGTAATAATTTTCTTTCAAACATGTATCGCTGGTAATATTTTTTTTTTTTTTTTCAAAAAATGTATAGCTGGTAATATGTATTTTTTTTTTTTTCTCTAAAATATATTGCTGGTAATATTTTTCAAAAATGCATTGCTGGCAACATTTGGCTTTCAAAAATGTATTGCTGGTAATAATTTTTTTTTTTTTTACAAATTAGTGTTTTGACCCCAATTACAATTCCATTGAATAAGGTTTTGTATCTTGATTATGTATTACAAATTATGAATTTTTACGTGTCCAATTTTTTTTTTTTATACGGGTGAAGAGTCCATCGTTTCTATGTACTTCCGACTATTTGCATTTTGTTTCTTATGTTTTGTCCTTTGAACTTCTTTTGTTTCTACTTTTTTGTTTGATTTTGCTCCCTTAGTTTTAAGATTCGGCTTTTTTTAATGAACTTTGTCTAGATGATAATCTTTCCCTTGTTTGTGATGGGCTAGAGATTTGTTCCTTTAAAAACCATTTTCCTTGGTTCTTCAATAACCGTTATTTTTTTGTATCTTTTCATTCTCTTGAGAATGTTTTGATGTTTCTATTTCTTGGATTTTTTTTTTTTTTTCCCCCCATTTGGATTTTTCGGGTTTAATACTTTCATAGATGTAGGGTCATTTTTGTTTGCGGTTGACGGTATAGGGTTCATTTTACCATTAGGTTCTTTTAATGATCTTTGTATAGATGATGACCATCCCCTTGTTTTGACATTGAAAACAAAAAAAATTGAAATGCGAAATAAAAACAAATACATTAAAAAAAATACATAAATAATTCACCGTACTTTAACTTTTATTAATCCTTGTGAAGTTCTGGGGGTGTAATAAGAAGCAAAATCGCTAAGAAGGATTTCATTTCATTAAAAAAGTGACAGGTTTCCTCATGTTTACATATGAGAAGACACTAGCATTTGTTTGCTTTCTTTTTTCCACTTGACTCATATCTGTCTTGCTGACTAATAAAGTTATTATTTCGTTGTTTATAAATCGACAAAACAATTCACCTTCAGAAAGGCTATCAGGTATATTGATGGTCATTAGTCGGGCATGGATGATAGTTGGCAATAGTGATCATCATTGCTTTCCTCCACGTCAATAGTGTATCTTTGACCACTTCACCATTACTATCCACTAAGGTAAAGCCTTTCAAAATCATCATCGGAGTACTAACGAAAGAAAAACTGAATAAAGGCTTTGTTGAATGTTGATGCAACCATTTTTTGCTTACAAAAAAAAAAAAAAAAAATTAATGTGGCTTTAATCTGTGTTACACCTCACGTAGATTCTAGAAGAATTTAAAATGGCATTGGAAAACGGAAGTTTAGCCTTGTTCCAAAGCAGTAGTAGGTGATTTCCAGCTTAAAATACTGGAAATAATAGCTGACAAGTGTTTATTTATAGCAACCTTCTCAAGGTGACAGAATGCGCCTAGAGCTGCAAAGGGAGACAATTCTACGGCAACAATTTTCTCTTCCAACATGGTAGAGGTTAAGCAGGTATGCGTCAAAGAGGAGTAGACAAAAAAATAAATTTTTTAAAAATTAAGCAAAAAAAGCTTTAGATAACAATGGTAATGCTCGGGCTGTTGCTTTGGATATCTGGAAGACATTTGACAGGGTTTGGCATACTAGCCTTCACATATTGAAAAGTCATGGTTCTAGATCATTTTAAATTAATGCAGGTGTCCCCCAGGACTATAGGCTTGGGTCAACATTGTTCCTAATTTTCTTCAACAACCTTTCTGATGTTGTCACTTCTCAACTCTGTGTCTAGACTGACATCTATTTACTATTTGGTAAGTCTGGTTGCTTTGAAAAGATCAAATCAGCAACTGATCTAAAAATAACCTACAACCTGTTTTTACCCGGGTTAAGAAATGGCTTGTTAATTTTGTTGTTCTCTCTCACTTAGGTTTTCTTTTTCTCATTCTTTCACACTCAGTAACCCATTGCTTCTTACTGACTTTATTACCATACTTGGGGTGAAATGATTAAAGAAAGAAAAGATTGTTTTTTTTATATATATATTTTATTTGTCCGTCCAAAGAGAAAAGTTAAAAAATGTGTGCTTTGAATGAATATAAATGAAGATGAATTTAAAAAAAAAAAAAAAAAAATGATGTTTGGTCAACTGGTAACTCACTGCCTTGGAGGTGGTCCACGCATTCCAGGGGGTGGGCCTGAAATAAATAAAATTATTCTTCAAATAAACAGAATTTTTTTTTTCCATGAAAGACATTAAATAAAACAGTTATAATTTCAATAACCAAAAAGATGTATGTGAACACAAAAAAAAAGAAAATAATTGAAAAAAAAAAAAAAAAAAAAAAAAAAAAAAAAAAAAAAAAAAAATAATTTAACAAAAAAAAAAAAAAAATAATTTAAAAAAAAAAAAAAAAAAAATTTAACAAAAAAAAAAAATAATTTAACAAAAAAAAGAAAATAATTTAACAAAAAAAAAAGAAAAATAATTTAACAAAAAAAAAAAAAATAATTTAACAAAAAAAAAAAAATAATTTAACAAAAAAAAAAGAAAAAGAATTTAAAAAAAAAAAAAAGAATTTAAAAAAAAGAAAAGAATTTAAAAAAAAAGAAAAAAATTTAAAAAAAAAAGAAAAAGAATTTAAAAAAAAAAAAAGAATTTAAAAAAAAAAAAAAAATTTAAAAAAAAAAAAATTAAAAAAAAAAAAAAAATAATTTTAAAAAAAAGAAAAATAATTTAAAAAAAAATTTTAAAAAATATTAAAAAAAAATAATTTAGAAAGAGGAAAAATAATTTAGAAAGAGGAAAAATAATTTAGAAAGAGGAAAAATAATTTTAAAAGGAAAAATAATTAAAAAAAAAGGAAAAATAATTAAAAAAAAAAAAGGAAAAATAATTTTAAAAAAAAAAAGGAAAAATAATTTTAAAAAAAAAAAGGAAAAATAATTTTAAAAAAAAAAGGAAAAATAATTTTAAAAAAAAGGAAAAATAATTTTAAAAAAAAAAAAAAAAAATTTTAAAAAAAAAAAGGAAAAAAAATTTTAAAAAAAAAAAAAAAAAAATAATTTAAAAAAAAAAAGGAAAAATAATTAAAAAAAAAAAAAAAAATAATTTAAAAAAAAAAAAAAAAAGGAAAAATAATTTAAAAAAAAAAAAAGGAAAAATAATTTAAAAAAAAAAAAAAAAAGGAAAAATAAAAATAAAAAAAAAAAAAAAGGAAAAATAATTTAAAAAAAAAAAAAAAGGAAAAATAATTTAAAAAAAAAAAAAGGAAAAATAATTAAAAAAAAAAAAAGGAAAAATAATTTAAAATAATAATATTAAAATAACACTTGCATGAATGGAAAGTCTGTGAAGTGATAAAAAAAAAAAAAAAAAAAAAAAAAGGGAGATTTGTTAAAACTATCAAATACCTAGTGTAGTGCAAACTAGTCACACAAGCTAATTAATTGATGTAGTAGTGAATTCAATCAACACTGGGTCCATCATGGCAAAGGAAGGGATCAAAAGGTTTTTCTATTCTTTACTGCCCAGGATACACTACGCTACGTCCACAGTTGAATCACCCACATTTCTTTTACATTCCAATTGTAAGGAGGAAGTTTACTGAAACCGACAATCTTAACCTTTTCATGTTAAGAGTCAATCATTATCTAACCTCCTGATCTTCATTTCCTACCATCTCCTCTTTCACTCATACTAGACAATTCATTCATCATAAGCATTTTAACAGTAACCCTCTAACTTGAGTGGCTTTCGAGCTTTGTATTGTGAAATTTTAATACCACTTGAACCCTTGTGCAAGTTCAGTCGTCAGCTCTTTGGAAAAAAATTTGTCATCAAGGGGATTGTCATATCAATCATTATTACTAGAGAGGACTCAATACTTATTGAATTCTCAACACTTGTGGCTTTGAACCAGACAAAAAGGTTAGTACTATCCATATGTAAACCTAGTATCAATTTTACGGACACCAATTTTCAGAAAAACTAGTTTTAGTAAATTAGTAAAATGTTGCCAAGTACTAATTTTAGTAGCTACAAGCTCCCATCACAGAAATCAATACAAAAATAAATAATTGAAAAACATTTAGACACCAAAACTGTGACCTCAACAATTCCCACAAGAGAAGCCAATAAAAGAAACCAATTTCTAGAGTGTAAGTACAATTCGATGTGAATCCAAGGGAATGGTAAATATATATATATATATATATAAAACAATTTAGAGAACTTTAACAGGTTTCACCAGTTTATTGATGAAATGTCAAAATAAAAATTTTCCAAACTGTTGTGAGAGAGAAATTAATGAATATTTATTTCTAAAATCATTATATTTAGGAGGTAATATGTGTGCATAGACATCACAGCAAAAAGAGAATCCTACGATAGAAAATGTACCCAGGAATTTTCTTTAGCGGGACTTTAGTTCATTGTTATAATTTTATATAAAGTGGAGGACAATAAGTATTCCAAGAGTCATCATCCATTCCACAACAAAATTGCCAAAGAACTCCAGAAGAGATTCTGCTAAGAATTTTAATACAAAAAAAAAAAAAAATCTTCATGCATTTCTGGTGGACTTCAAGGTTTTTTTTTTAGACCCCAGGAAGATCAAATAATAAAGTCAGGCACTTGAGAAAATTGCAATCCAATCACAATCAACATGAAAATTTGTTTTTCTTTTTTGCTTATTTAAAACATCACCCATCTCATTACATACATACATAATAAATAAAAAATAAAATATATATATATATATATATATATATATATATATATATATATATATATATATATATATATATATATATATATATATATATATATATATATATATATAATAAATAGAAAATGTTGATAAATATATATATAGGTTTCAATTTTTTCATTAAAACTGAAATAGGGAGAAAGGAAGAAGTTCTGTATTTTTTTTTGTGTCTGATTTTCATTGGTTTGCTGGTGAAACTGGGAGTAAATACACATTTTTGCACATAAATGTCACACAATAATATGTCACTATTTGTTTCCAAGTACACCTGACTGCTGTAGTGACTATATATATATATATATATATATATATATATATATATATATGACCACTCATATTTGAGGATAACTATCTACTAGGGCAGCTAGCCAATCCCTATTGCAGACTCTTGCTCAGGCACATTTGTGTTTGTTCAATACTCACAGGGCCCACCTGTGGTTTATACTGCAACTATGCTGAGCAGGCCTTAGTTACAGTTTCTGGGAAAGAGTGTGTTATCTAGAAAGACCAACAGCACACTCAAACCCTCAGTCACGAAGACTTGTGACTTCATGCTAGCACAGCTATCAACAGCTCCAAGTATTCTGTCTACTCAATTTCAGTCACAAGGCTTGGGTCAACCTGTGGTGCGGTTTTCAGGCACTTTAGAAAAGGTGCCACACGCTGGGATCGTCCGTTCTCCAGACTGATAACATCAGGAAGTCTCCTTCCTGACAAATCAATAAATGATGAGATTCAAACCAAGGTCTCATGAAAGCGAACGTTCTAACCACTTGGCCACGCATCCATAAAGTGAATATACATAATATCCAACATCAATAGCACAAATGAGTTTCATGCACTTGCTGCAATTGATGTTAGATATTACGATATTCTCTAATATATACTTATATTTCCACCTTGTTGTGCAAAAGTTTTTATTTATGCTTTTTATCATACACATAACCCCCAGTGTGTGTGTGTGTGTGTGTGTGTGTGTATATATATATATATATATATATATATATATATATATATATATATATATATATACACACACACAGTGCATGATAGATAAATTGTCTAAATTACACAAAATTGAAAATAATTCCGACATCTCATTTTAAAATTTACCAAGATTACAAAAAACATATCTTTAAATACTACTTCATAATCTCCTGCAACTCTTCTGGATGGTCTCCTTTTTTTTTTAAGTTGGTGAATTCTGATATAATCCTTGCCTTCAGTTCATCTCTGGTGTTACAAGAAGTTTTGTTGGTCTCTTGCTCAACAGCACCCCACACAAAATAATCAAGGGGGTTGCAGGTGGCCAGATGTAAGGAGTGATGTGGTCACAGAAATTTTCTGACAGCCATGTTTGAGTTCTGCTGCTTGTGTGGCATGGTGCAGAGCCTTGTTTGCCAGACATAGGGGTCTTCCAGCAACCACCCTCTTGACCCAAGGCAGCACAGCCTCCTCAAGGCACTTTCTGCAGGCCTCCATGCTAGTACCTTCGTAATCATCATTAGACTCATCCAACTCTTTCAGAATCCTCCACGCTGTCCTCAGATTGACACCCAAATTCTCTGAAATATTCCTATTGGAGCTTCTGGCATGAATGTTAAGCAGTACAAAATGCCACTTCCAAATTTCTGGGGGAGTGAATTGTGTCATGGTGCTCTTCTCACAGACGATGCCCAACTAACCCTACTATACTGTGCAGTTGACAAAATAAAAAAACAAAAAGAACAATGTCCATGCAGGAAATTAATATGAAATGGTTGGTTGGTTGGGTTTTATGACATATCAACCACTGTAGGTCATTTAATGCCAAATTTAGTTTATATATAGAACTAAATATATAGGACTTGTAAACATCTATAAGCTATATAAGCTAGAGCTTATTTGCTTACACACTGCAAAATAATTCCAGGTATTACTGTCTAGGACAAGGATTTCCATTTAGTATAGACAATTTGTTTGCACGATGTTAAAAGGTAGCATATATTAATTACACATCAGATTACATCCTTGAGAAAAGGACCAATTCTTTTCAAGAAGTTTATTATATGACTTGGATCAATTTTTGTAAATAGTTCCTTTGTACTCTTAATGTTGTAGAACTTTCTTTGAATGTGTGTAAGGTCTGTGCATTCTATCAGTGTATGTTTTACTGTGTATTGGTTTCTACAGGGACATTTAGGAGGAGGCTCCCCTTCTAGTATAAAGGAGTGAAGTCAGTCTAGTGTGTCCAATGCGTAGCCGAGTTATGGTGGTTTCTTCTCTTCTTGTATTATTAAGATTCAGTTTGCTTTCTTTTAAAGTGGTAGAGCAACATGGAATGGCGATAATTTAGCCATCACACCCTGTGAGTGTGATACAAACCCAAGTCGTACTTTCAACGTATATATATATATATATATATATATATATATATATATATATAT